AGATTGACAACCGTATCTTCGGTAGACACAGATCTATGTATCGAGAAATGATGACGATAAAATCAGATCAAAGCGATAGAAATATACGAACCAGTGAATGATCATTTTTAGCTCTTCTACCTTCTATGAACATCTACTGATCCTCATGAGGTGAAGTGGTTGTCCACATAGTCGTAAAGAATGTGGGCCACAGCCAATCAATTTCGAATATCCTTCATGTGTTTATTTTTATGTTCATTCTCTAATATTTTGACTAGACCGCCTAAGCTTTAGGGCGTTAAACACCATCCTAGTTATTATGCTAAATACAAATAATGGTGCATTGTGTGCACTATTATCTCAATTCGTCCTCCTTTCAGTCATCTGTTGATGTTACTAGCCGTATGATCATTACACAAACAGCAAACTCAGGGGATCTATGTTTGGGCATCTGATAAGAAACCGACAATTAGGTTACGACCAGAACACTGACTAAATAGTCAAGATAGAGATATCCCAGGAATCACATTTTTTCATGTCCAAAAAAAGTAGACTAGTTAGTAGTATATTACCTTCACTTTTAAAAAACAATCTTATGAAATGAAATATTTAGGATAAAATGATCACCATTTTCTTCCTCTCTTCAACCCCGAAGAAAATTACATAGAAAGACATGAATAAAAAATTCACCTCTCCACATACACATAGACATAGGATGGAGGAGACCATTTCAGTGGAGATGCCTATTAATTCCGTCAGAAAAACATAACTCAGTGAACCATTTCTCGCCTGATATTTACTTCATAAAACTAAACTTGAGAAAAAATATGAAAAAGTAAGAGAAAAATAATTTTCAAAAATAAAGCAAACATGATAGATAACAGGAGATGGTGATTGATTGAGGCAGCAGGGAGGGAGAGGAGTGTGTAAAAACAAAAATTTAGAAAGTAGATTTATATTACGGATTTCCAAGTCCCTGATTATGAACTTCTCGCATATGTTCTGCAAAGCTGAAATATAAAGAAACACACACAATTATTCTAGATAATTTATGCATGAAGCGAAATATTTCAGTCTGTTTATTAGAAATATCCCATGGTGAGGGAACAGTAGCATTTACTGGATAACGTTTCGGACACAATTTAATGTCAAGTTCATATCAGGTAACTAACTCAACAACTTTGAGACAGAGTTTATATAGTCCTAATTTTCTCTCTTTCTCTGTGATGACAAGGATAGTAGAATTCTCCATATATCTGGGACAGATGCAGAATCATTTCTATTACTGCGTGTATTTGGTGTTGATTCGATAAACAAAGATCCAGTCGGTCATCAATCTCTTCCTCCCTCCATCCAACTAAGTTAGTTTTCAACACTGTCGCCCTATCCCACCCTACTGTGTGATTGTGTGTCATCGCATGTAGAGTTTATAGCTGAACTTTTCTCTAAATTTCTTATCTTATTAAGATCTACTAATCTTGATTAGTTAAGTTTTTGTATTGTGCTATTCTAATCGACCCCAGTCAACTACTTTCACCTATGTACTTGACCTCGCAATCATTGTGAGGGATCTGGTAAACCAGATTATTTTGCTTAATTGCATCGATAGGATCGTTCAACCTACAAAGTTTGTTTCTAAGCGAGTTTGTTGGTTTGAGTGCCAGCCGCTTTAATCCCAGCCAGGCTTATTGAGAATTCTTCGTAATGCTTCTGAGGTGCCTTCCTTGCATGGTAACACAGTAGAGGCTTTGAATTCTCTTTCAACCCTGTCAACATTGTTGCCATTAAGTAGTAGAGTTATTATTAATAACACCTGTGTTACTACTACTACTACTTCTACTGCTAACATTGTTCTTTCGGTACCTCATGAATTTATTTATAAATTTTGGTTGGTAATTATTGAGACGTAGGGTATTCTTGATGTGTCTAATCCCTTGTCGCAGATTTTCTGGTCTACTAGTAAACTTTTCCACCCTATCACTTAGGCATTTAACTAAGCCTACTTCGAAACTGAAACGGGGAAGGAGGATTTGAAGTCTAAGTATCGATTAGAATGAGAAGGTTTCGCATAGACACTAGTCTCTAGACTTCCGTCTTGTGTTCATTTAATCTTGCAATCCAACAACATTGCTATCTCACCTTCTTCACTTTCTAAGTCACAGGTTAGTCGGTTTGCATTCTCTACTGAATTTATATGTGTCAAGAACCTATTGATATGTTCCGATTTCAGTACTGTAAACGTATCATCTACATATCGGAACCATATCTTTGGAGTAGGACTAAATGTTTAAAGGACCACCTGTTCCCAACTATGCATAAACATGTCTCCAACGATAGTCTGTCTCGAAATTGTGGAGTTAGTTACCTGATCCGACATGAATATGGACAATAAATTGTGTCCGAAACGTTGTTATCCGGTACATGCTACTGTTTCACTGTATGATGTCTCTAATAAACAGACTGAAATAGAATTACAATCGACCACACTGCCCATGTTTTACTCTCATATAAATGAAGCAAAATATTACCAATCATTGGTTGTGGTTGTGTTTTGTTCTCTGAGCTGGGGTTGTTTAATCATGAAGTTTTCATCGTCTTTCTAGACAGCGACATCATCAGCACTAACTTCATACTCATGTCGTCTTGAAAAGGCAAGCTTCGATCAAAGAACAACTATTCTTTCTTCATGATTGTCTACGTCAGCATGTTCTGTCGAAGAGTGTCAGATATAGACCACGGATTAACTGTCTAATGGTATGGAAAAAGCTGAACAAAGTGGAACACAAATGGTACAATTGATGACCACAGATGCACATCACCGGATCCGGAAATTATCAATCATTATATTATGCACAATATATACTACTTTGATATGATATTTGTACAGTACAACTATATGACGACGCCACACACCAAGTAATTCACAATGGGAAGCTCAGTGATGCCTTTGAAGTGGAGTGAAGACAAGAGTAAGATAAGGCTGTTTACTATAACCCATCATCTTCTTTTTTGTGGTCGACTGGATCATGCAGCAAACCGTGAGGAGCGAGAAGAGGGGGATATGCTGGACCGGGGGAAAGATCCTAGAAGATTTGGATTTCGCCGATTGATGACCTGTGTCTAATGTCACACAAACTTGAAGATCTACAGGCGAAAACTAACAAGTTGACAGAAGAGGTGGGTCAGCAAAGACGGGACTTCAGGTGAACGTAGAGAACATAGAGGTGATGAAGATACCCAACCAACACCACCACCACCAACAACAACAACAAGCTCCAATCACCATCAACGGGAGAAACTTAAAGGAAGTAGCCTCTCTCACCTACCCGACTGGGCAGCATCGTTTCAACTACAGGCAGCGGCACAGACGAGGACGTCAAAGCCAGCCAGGATCAGAAAGACAGCAAGACAGGCGTTCATTAACCTGAAAACAGTGTGGAGATCTACTGCACTCATCATGCGGAATAAGATCCAGATTTCCAACATCAATGTCAAGTCAGCGCTGCTATATGGTTCAGAAACTCGGCGCGCTACGAAAAGCATTTTCAACAAACTATAGATATTCATCAACAACTGCCTACGCTGGCTCGTCACTGAAGCTCACATGGCCAGAAAGAATAAGCAACAAGGAACTCTGGCTGGCTGGCAACGAACCAACCAAGAACTTGTCGCTCAACAAATATGCAGAAGGTAGCCCTCCTTCCAATTGGCAGGTACCTTTTCTTTCTTCCCTTTCTCCCTTCCAAACTTTGTACAATAGTGGTGTGAGCATTTCGCTGGTGTTTCTGAGTGTGTTTTGAGTGCTTCTAGGGGAATAGTACCTGGTCCTGATGGTTTACCGACTTACAGCGATGGAATGTGTCGACGACTTCACTTACAAGAAGAATTTCATCTGACGGAACGGTTTTCCTACTGACGAGATATCAACTCTAATGCAAAAGGCCAGTTTGGCATTTGACAAATTGTGTCACCAGTGATGCCAACTGGCAAGATATCCAACTGTTAATCAGAGGACGAGTATACTGCGCACTGCAGCCTGTTCTGTCCTGTTATATGGCTGTGAGACATAATCGTTAACCGTAGACGATACAAAGCGGTTACAGGATTTCGATCTCAGATGTCTTTATGACATTGATCGCATTCAGGTCAGGCAAACAGTACTAGGTTGTGAACCTTCATTGACTGAGATGGCTTGCATATGTACTGCTACTGTCTAACTCGACGTGACACGCTACAGGAAGTTGCATTAAGTTGGAAGAGGGTTCAGGGTGGACAGAGCAACAGATGGGACCAGTTCATGAAGTTTCCTAATGTTGGCCTAAGCCATATGGAGAGATGTAGACTGTCTGGTTGGGGTTCCCACCACGAAAGGAGTCAGTGGTTGACAACTCCTAGTGACATGGCTCGAAAACAGTTACAGTGGCGCAGATGTATTCATCCCTTGACGTCTTCTAAAGCTTGAATATTTGCACTAACTTTTACCTTCAAATTGCTTATTCTCTCGCACAACTTTGTCCACTTAGATAGCAATCTTTTTCTATCGACTTGTTCTATGCATGTGTTACTGTGAAGTGCGGTAACTTGAGCTAATGATATTCTATTCTACGTAGATTCTGTCCGTCTATCTATCTGCTCATATCAACTCGACTGAAAATGGTTAATTCAGGCTGCTAAATAGCGTAGATATAATTCAGTGTGTAAAAATGTGAACCGTAGCCGGATTCGAACCAGCAACCACTGGATTACCAGTCCGGTGATCTATCAACTAAGCTACGAGGTCCGACTGGTGACCAGAATTTTATTTAACTTCAATCAATCCACCAAGGGTTTTGCCTGACTACTATATGAATCCGTGACGCTCATCTCACCTTCAATCATCACCCTAGTACAAATATTAGTCTATCAAACTACGGCTATTTTAGATAGTCAAATCATACACACACACACACACAGAGAAATCTATTTTCTTGTTACTTTCTAATAACTTTCCTTGTATTATCATTAAAAATACACAAACTTACCGAGAATGACAATTAGCTTCAGTCTCCAGTGCACTATGTTGAAAATGAGCTGCTTTATACAATGCAATGAATATGAACAAATGTAAAAATATTGCATATAGAAATAAACCCAAGCGAAGTCGATGATCAGAGCTAACAAAACGTCCCTATATCATTGGAAAAGATACAAGAATAAAGAGAAAAAGATAAGAAAGAGGAAGAAGTTTAAAATGTTGAAACATTAAGTATCATTATTTCTATATAACTGCTCTTCCCAGTATTAATTTGATCCTGCCAGAATCATTGAATTCGCATAAATCTATAAATTAAATTGATCTATTCCTCATTGGTGGCTAGCTACAAGAGGTGATTCCTGAAGTTTTAACACGAAGTCGTAACCCATGGGGTGAATCTGGTGACCATGAGGAAAAATACTCAACGATGATATTGGGCGATGATCGCGCTATATCGTGAACTGACAGAAGTGGGAAATATGGACTAACGGTAACGTGCTGTCCACACAGCCAGAACATCCTGAGTTCGACCCCTGGTGGGGTGGAGTCATGAATACAGACTGTTGAGGAGTCTCATACTGGGACCCAACAGCCATCCAGTGCCTCCAGGTTTCCAATGTTCCTCCAACTGATGTCAGCCAATGATGAATACCAACTTGAACAACTACTGAATCCCCACAAACCCCCAAGTTGAAAAGTTGTTTTAGCATATTCACCATGCGTACTAGCCAGCGGTGGGACCCACAACGCAAATTTTGTCCGATTCGAGACTCATCAGCTGGATGCATTTGCCTCCAAATGGGTGATGATATCCTTAACTACTACCAATCGCTTCAATCTTTAGAGCGTTATCCACTAGCTCGCTGGAACCATGATAGACACTGCTTGTGTGGGGAGCATAGTATAACCCATTGTTTTCACCTTGTTACTCACATGTCGCTTTCACAGAACATTTGGCAGCCAAAGTGACACTGTGAGCTAAATACCAATTATATATAGTACTTCAGTTGCTGGAGAATCAGACTGGTGATAAAAAGGCTACTACTAGTTCGAACACAGGAAAGGATCAGGTCTTGTACAACGTAGAATCCATAAGCCCTCTCAACGGAATCACGGATGCGTGTTTCATCCTATTTAGGAATCTTCAGCTGCATGTGCCTGCACCTCAATGAGTGCTGTCCTCACCGGAACTCGAAATCGGGACCGACCGCTTCAAACGCCAGATCATTGCCCACTAGATCACAGAGCGACGATGGCCATTTCCAGTGCGATGGGTACAATTTTTGTTAGTGTTTGTATTATACCGTCAGTATTGCATTCACTATTAATATATATAATTAAAACACAGGTAAAATCGAGGCTCCCGAACAGGGGCCGATATGCCATTAGAGACCGATCAGTTCGGTCCAACCAACGACAGTGTAATACGAGTAATAATGCTAAAATTATACCCGTCGCACAAAAAATGGCTATCGTGGCTCGAGGGTGTAGTGAATAACGCTCTGGCGTTTGAAGCGATCGCTCTTGAGTCCGAATCGCCGTGGGAACAACATCACTCACTGGGTGGCAGGTACGTCCAGCCGATGAGTACCGAATAGGACGAAATACGCATCCTGGAATTTACTGCTAGCCACTATCCATCATCACATTAGAAACACAGGCAATATCGAGACATCCGCGCAGGAGCCTACATCCCAAAGAGGACGATCAATCCGGTCCAATCAACGACGGTATAATACAAGCAGTAACACAATAATTTAAAAAACGTTGATAACAAGTGGGAATGAAACATTATTTAGGTAGCAAACGAATTTGAGTCACTTCAGTGGTTTGAATCCAGTCCCCATTGTCAACTTTTACTGGTACATTTAATCATCATCATTACACGAAACATTAGCATGTGCTAGCTAAAGATTTTCCTTACTCTGAATTACATGGTAAATCTGAGCCGCTGACATCGACTCTGAATTATATCACCTAGAGTCTTCAACCACTGGCTTCTGTTGTTACGTGGATCCCAACCGCGAAGCCCACATTTCCTTATATACGATAGACAGTGACTATTCATGAGTAGCATAGGTGCCAGTCACCAGAATGAATGAAATTTCATTACATCATCATAAACCGACCTTCCTCCCCTTCCTAAAACTTTACATCTGACTTCCGCTTCACGTCAGTGGTTACGAAAGTAAGCGTGGTCAAATATCAGAAGCATTCTTATATCTCCTACCTTTAACGTCAACATTTCACAAGCACACAAAAAGATACAGCAAACTACAGTGCAGTATACTCGACCACTTAATGATAAACAAGCCAATATCTCAGTTGGGACGTTGTGTTGTTTAACTATGTAAAGCAGGTAACACAGATGATTTCGGTGGTGACGGGGTCGAATTGTTAGGAAAAGAACGGAAATAAATATAAGACCAATTCTGTTAGGTGTGTTATTATTCTTATCACTTTTCCTTTAGGTTCCTAATGGAACATATGGCTTCAGTAGCAAGTCGCCACCTCACTCTCTTCTCCACAGTCCTTTCAACCTACCTCTACCAATCCCCAAAACCTTTCACTTCTTCCTCACATAATCTCCTCAATGTCACCCTCAACTGGGACGCCCGACTCGTCATTTCCCATGCGGGTCCCACTGAAGGGCACTGGCTTGACCTGATGCGTGATGTCCTCAAACCGTCTTCTCACTGTATGTCCAGTTGAATCCAATCCAATCCATCTCCATTTTCTTTGACTGCATATTTGCTAGGCGACAGGTTCTTGCTCCATTGCTTGGTTGGTTGGTTGGTTCGTCGCCAGTCAGCCACAGTTCCTTGTTGCTCATTCTTATTATCCTATTCTGCCCATCTGATCTGATCTGATCTGATCTTCAGTGTCAGTATGGCGTGGAGTGAGCGAGCGTAGCCGGCAGCTGTTGACGTGATGCATGTCTGCAGTTTGTTGGAGATGATTTTCGTAACGCGCCAAGTCTCTCAACCATCACATTCTTGAAGCACTGACTGACACTTCTGTTGAGAATCCGGATGTTGTTCACGCTTTATGCTGAATGGAATGAGGTGCCGTGCAGTAGATTTCCACACTGATTATTTCAGATTAATGGAGGGAGACCTGTCCTGCTGCCTTTCCGATCATGGCTGGCTTTAACGTCCTCATCTGTGCCTGTGCCACCTCCTGTAGTTGAAACGATGCTGCTTAGGTAGGTAGGTAGGTGGGTGAAAGAGATTACCTCTTTTACTTTTCTCCCGCTGATGGTGATTGGTGCTTATTGTTGATGTTGGTGTTGTTGTTGGTTGGGTATCTTCATCACCTCTGTCTTCTATACGTCCACCTGAAGGAAGTCCCGTCTTCCTTCGCTGCCTCGATCCGTCTCTTCTGCCAACTTGTTGGTTTTCGTCTGTAGATCTTCGAGTTTGTGCGACAAGACATTAGACATAAATCATCATCATCATCATCATCATTGGTGAAATTCAAATCTTGAAGCGTCTTTTCATCGGTCCAGCCAGCACATGCTCATCTTCTCGCTCTTCACAGTTTCTTGCATGATCCAGTCCACTCCAGTCGGGTCAAGTCGACCATAATCAGGAAGATCATCGGTGATAGTAGGCTGCAACGTTGACTTACTCCTGTCCCCTATCTTCACCTCAAAGACATCACTGAGCTTCCTATTGTCAAACACTTGGCATGTAGCCTCATCATATAGCATATAGCTACTGTTGAATGAGGTTGATAAAGGTTTGCGGCACTGAAAGCGTATCTTTGAAGGAGCTACCTGTCAAATTACTTCTCGGTCGACGCTATCGAAGGCCTTTTCAAAATCGATGAAGTTGAGGTAAAGATCCAGTTGGCTGCCATTCTATGCTCTGTTCTATAATGATGCGTAGCGTTACAATCATATGTTTCACGTCGATCACTATGCACTCAGGTTCTGTGATTACGATTTAAAGCAGGAGGTTCTCATTCAACAGAAACAGAGAGAATGTAGGTCATTGGTTTACGATGTTGACTTTCAACCAATTCAGTCATGAGTTCGAACACTGCTCCCCCAGAGTTATTTCAAGAAGTATATTGTCTACTAGGCTGATGTCCTTGAGATACCGAAAATCAATGGTTACAAATTCTTAGGAACAGGAAACAATACTGATCATAATGGCCCACAGGTATTCACCATTTATAACCTTCAGTCTTCAGAATGCTTCATCATATTCGACAATGAGAATAAAAAGTAGAGAGTGTATATACAATTATCAGCGCAAAATATGATGATCAACTATAGGAACCATGCAACATTAACATAAGACCAAGTATTGCTGCATAACACACCAAGCTATCACTTTTCATAATCCCAACATCAAGCAACAAATTACCAATATGAAATAAAAAGAAACAATGAAGAGGATCATGCATGGATATATCTGTTCTACTCAGATCAGTTCTAAATTATGTCATCTAAAGTCTTCAGCTACTGGTTTCTGTTGTCACGCGCAGCTCAACGAAGAAGTCTACATGTCTCTGCACTATACGCACCAACAGGATGTACTATACACTACTGATAATCTCAGATAATGGTCAACCCCTCATACAAGATAGTAAATCATGAAATCAACGTTGCGTTACTGGATATCACGCTAACGAGTCCCGTTCCAACTCTTCAGATTCGGACAGCCAGGTAGTATCATCACTAACCCTAACACAATAAGTGTGGCTTATTAACTGCTGTATGAATTGTGTACAAGGTGGCTGATTGCGTTGCTTGAGTAGAAAATGTTTGGAATACGTTCCGACTCCATCAGCCAAATGTAAGATGATACTCAAGAACTGATCAGTGTGTGATGAATACCATATTGAAATCAATAAATCCACACAAACTTCCAAATTCAATCACATTTCAGTGCTCATTAGCAAAACGGCCTTCTATGTGAATGTCTCGACAATGCCCGAATATTCATTATATTGTAGTCTACATAATGGCTGACTAGGACTGGAATCCAAGACTCGCGTCTCGTCCCATCTGGGACTCATTAGCTGGACGTACGGACAACTTAGTCAGTGATTTTGTTCCCCCTGAGACTTGAAACCATTCCCTACCGTTTGAAACTCAAAAGTGTTGCCTATTAGGTCATTGAGGCATGGCAGCCACCTCTTGTGCGACGGATATCACTTGGTGTTTATTGATACCTGTGATTTCTCGTTGCTAGAAACATCCGGACAATATCGAGATATCCGCATAGCGACCCATTAGCCAAAGGAGGTCGAACAATCTGACCAAGTATCGGAACGAAAGGTTACAAGTATTACTAAAACAAAACAACTGACGTTCATTGCACAAGCAATGGCTTTCATGCTCCAGTGGTCTAGCGAATAACTCTTTGGAGTTTAGGGAGATGTATAGTGAGTTAGAGTCTTAATGGGAACAACATCACTCATGGATTGTAGTTCGAATGTACGACTCATTTCATGGTGGATATAACTAGTATCCCACTGTGATTAGACACAAGAACAAATCAACGTAGAGAAGAAGACGAAGAAAGAAACTGGTTCAGCAACCTTGGGCACATTCATGTAGTAAGAACAATGAGCTATACCTATTCTGTGAGGGTTAATAATACTAATTGAATGCTAAAACTTCAGTAGGCGGAGCGTTTTTCGAATATAGAACATTGAATAGAAGTGGATGAATTAAAAGTTATTCTAATTCAGAATAATTCATACCTTTGAAGTGAAGATAGGGGACAGGAGTAAGTCAACGTTGCAGCCTACTATCACCGATGATCTTCCTGATTGTGGTCGACTTGACCCGACTGGAGTGGACTGGATCATGCAAGAAACTGTGAAGAGCGAGAAGATGAGCTTGTGCTGGCTGGACCGATGAAAAGACGCTTCAAGATTTGAATTTCACCAATGATGATGATGATGATGATGATGATTTATGTCTAATGTCTTGTCGCACAAACTCGAAGATCTACAGACGAAAACCAACAAGTTGGCAGAAGAGACGGATCGAGGCAGCGAAGGAAGACGGGACTTCCTTCAGGTGGACGTATAGAAGACAGAGGTGATGAAGATACCCAACCAACAACAACACCAACATCAACAATAAGCACCAATCACCATCAGCGGGAGAAAAGTAAAAGAGGTAATCTCTTTCACCCACCTACCTACCTACCTAAGCAGCATCGTTTCAACTACAGGAGGTGGCACAGGCACAGATGAGGACGTTAAAGCCAGCCATGATCGGAAAGGCAGCAGGACAGGTCTCCCTCCATTAATCTGAAATAATCAGTGTGGAAATCTACTGCACGGCACCTCATTCCATTCAGCATAAAGCGTGAACAACATCCGGATTCTCAACAGAAGTGTCAGTCAGTGCTTCAAGAATGTGATGGTTGAGAGACTTGGCGCGTTACGAAAATCATCTCCAACAAACTGCAGACATGCATCACGTCAACAGCTGCCGGCTACGCTCGCTCACTCCACGCCATACTGACACTGAAGATCAGATCAGATCAGATCAGATGGGCAGAATAGGATAATAAGAATGAGCAACAAGGAACTGTGGCTGACTGGCGACGAACCAACCAACCAACCAAGCAATGGAGCAAGAACCTGTCGCCTAGCAAATATGCAGTCAAAGAAAATGGAGATGGATTGGATTGGATTCAACTGGACATACAGTGAGAAGACGGTTTGAGGACATCACGCATCAGGTCAAGCCAGTGCCCTTCAGTGGGACCCGCATGGGAAATGACGAGTCGGGCGTCCCAGTTGAGGGTGACATGGAGGAGATGGTATAACGAAGAAATGAAAGGTCATGGAGTGAAATGGCGACGTGCTACTGAAGCCATATGTTCCATTAGAAACTCAAAGGATCAATGATCAATTTTAATGCTTCTGAATAGTCCACAAAGAGGAGATGATAAAGAGAAATTAAAATCATGACAGAATTAAGAATTCAGTGAAACACTACAATCCTATTGCCTAAGGAAATACAGACTGAATCGAAACTTCTTATTTGAGTTATGACAGAAAATATAAACTGTAAGAGAAAAACGATTTCACATACCAAATGTAACATAAGCTTTTCATAAGGTTGTAACCTTTTGTAAACACGTTGTTTTTCATATCGACTGAATTGATTAAATGGATTCAATTGCGCTTCATACACCTTTGAATATTTGATAACAGTATCATCATTTGATTCATGATTCCAAAACTGTGATGTTGACATTGATGATGATTGTAGTGGTGATAATGATGATGATGATGCAGGATACTGAGAAAATGAATTTCCAACAGGATTATTTCGAGTTTGTATGGTTGTAGGACTTGCATAAGAGTGTAGAAAACGTATTTTCTCATAAAGTTTTACATTATCATTGCGTACTGATTCCACTTCACGTTCAAGTGATACTAGTTGTTGGCGTAGATTCACTTCATTCTGATGAAATAAATAAAACATACAGAAAATAATCAACGGTGCTCATTGGTGACTAGCTTCGAGAAGTATTCCCGAAGTTCCAATGAGAACGTGTGACCGGTGGTCGTGAGGACAGTTACTCAACGATGACATTGGGTGGTGGTTGCGCTATATCGTGAGCTAACAGAAGTTGGAAATATGAATCATTGGATTCTGACCCAGTGGCCAGCTCAATAGTAACATGCTGGCCACGGAACCTGAAGGTCGTGGGTGTGCCACTGCTGAGGAGTCCCATACTAGGACGAAACAGCTGGCTGTCTAGTGCTCCCAGGTTTCCTTTGTTCCTCCAACTCACGTCAGTCTACGATGAATAACAACTTGAAATATTTCCAAATCCTTACAACTCCCTTAAAATTAAATTGACTGATAATACAAAGCATAGACTTTACAATACTTGTACTGATCCTTTGCATTAGACAGTCTTTTATTGTGCTAAGGATTAAACTAGATCAAAATCGAAGCATAGATGTGATAAGACAATTACTCATTCATAGTTATAAAGGTGTTTGGTACAAAATCTCAGGATTTAGAGTTCGACCCCTAATGGGGTCTTGAATGCGCAGAGGTGGACAGTCATATACAACATAGGAAGAAACACCTGTCCAACGCTAACAAGTTTTCAATGGTTACCCAACCTATGTCAGTCCGTGATGAATAACACACTGAAATAAATAATTAAACACAAACCTCCCATTTCAATCACCGTTCAGTGAGATTGAGGAGAAATAAAGTGATCATATGGTTTTGATAACAGATATCTTCGTGACATTCCTCGCCTTTATTTGAACCACTCCGTGAGTAATATTCACGTCAGACAAAGGGTACTAAGCAAGACAGACATTACTCGACAAAGATGGCTTGGATATGTACTGCTCGTGTTCAACCACCGCCTAACTTCACATGACACGTTAAAGGAACTTGCATTCAGTTGGAAGGGAGTTCAGGGTGGACAGAACAACAGGTGGGACCAGTCTATGAAGTCTCTTACTGTTGGCATGAGTCATTCGGTGAGATATAGACTGCCTGATTGGGGTCCCCGAGACCGAAGGAATCAGTGATTGACAAGTCTTAGTGACATGGCTCGAAAAGGACTACAATGGTGCAGATTCATTCACTACTTGACGTCTTCTAAAGCTTGAATATTCGCACTAACCTTTGTCTTCAAATTGTTTATTGTCTAACACTATTCTCTGTACTATCCCCAGTTTGCTGTGAAAGCAATGCTGAAGACCGTAGCCGGCTGCGAAATAGTGGCTAAAAAGAGCCAGTGGATAACAGCAGCTCCTTCCGAACCAATGGATGCATGTGCAAGCATCCCCGAAGTCTCTGAGTACAATGAAGAGCGAGCACAACTTAAAAGTAGATTAAGAGAAAGTCTACGCAACGACCGCGAACAGTAGTTGGCAACGAAGGCTACTGAGATGGAAAAGGTAGCGCCGATTGGTAACAATAGACAGTTACTTAGACATATTAGGAAAACTGGGGAAAAAGGTTAACAACAGTTAGTGAGACTATACCGAAGAAGGATAGGTCTGAGATTCACTTTCAACAAGGAAGGACAGCAGGACCAAACGGACTAACTCCAGAGGTATACAAGGATGGTGGTAAGGTGCTCTTAGTCAGGTTAACGGAAGTGTTAACTAGTATATGGGAATCAAATACGATCTCCTCTGACTGGTCGGAATCGCTGATTATTCCAGTTCCCAAGAAAGGTGAGAAGTTATCTGGTGATAACCACAGAGGAATCAGCCTGACGAACATACTGTCTAGGATTCTAGGTTCTATAATTCTTCGGCGCCTGACTGGAGCTCGGGAACGACAAGCCCGAGAAAACCAAGCAGGCTTTAGACCCGGCCGCGGGTGTATCGACCAAATATTCACACCGCGCCAAGTTCTGGAACATAGGCACGCTTACCAACGCCCGATACTAGCTGTATTTCTCGACTTAAAGGCGGCGGCATTGGACTCCGTTGATCGAGAAGTCTTACGGCAATGTCACTCACTGAAGGGTATGTCGAGTAAGTACACTACCTTATTGAAGGCTCCCTACTCGAACAATTGTGGGCGTGCTAGAGTCTATGGTGAGATGTCAGGTGAGCTGTACTCATCGAGTGGCGTCCGTCAAAGATGCCCCCTGTTTCCATTCTTATTCAATTTCATCATGGATATTCTTATGCAGGTCTCCCTCTCGTCACCTGATTACACAGACGTTGACCTAATCACAGGAGAATTTCCATTAGACCTAGAATATGCAGATGACATAATCCTGTTAGGTGAAGACGCTGACAAGATGCAGAGTCTTCTGAACACTGGATGGTAATTTGAGAATGTTTGGGATGCCTTTTCACCACCTAAATGCAAATTGTTGCTCCAGGATTCGTCTTCAACGGTGCCACGGCTGAGTCGACCACTTCACTTACCTGGGAAGTAGGATCAACCCTGGTGGCCCAGAAGCCGATGAAATCTCTGCACGAATACAAAAGGCTCGATTGGCTTTCGCCAACTTACGCCACAAGTGCCCCCCCCCAGGATACCCGATTGTTTATTAAGCGTCGTGTGTGCTGCACACCAGTCGGCTCTATTCTACTCTATGGCTGTGAAACATGGCCATTGAAGGTGGAAGACATGAGGAGGCTTCAAGTTTTGACCACCGTTACCTTCGTAGTATAGGACTTATTCCATGGTGTCACCACATGAGTAATGCAGAAGTCAGGCGTAGAGTCTTAGGGAGAAGAGGTAAGTCAGTTGATGCTGTTGTGAACCTTTATCGGCTGAGACGGCTGGCTCCAACATGTGTTACGTATATCTAGTCGCCAATTGCCTCGTCACACAATGTTGGTCGAAATAGGTTCAGGCTGGAGAAAGTCTCTAGGCGGCACCAATGTATGAAGTATTTGACTGTTGGTTTGAGCCATGTGGGGCGATGCAGACTAGGTGTTTGGGGTCGGTGGGACAAGAGGAACCAGTGGATGGAGAATCTAGGTGACATGGCTCAGAACTGATGTGGGTGGCTCAGATGTATACACACATTATCCTCATCTTGTCCAGCAGCACTCGTAGTGGGTTTTGTTGCCAAATTTTTCTTACGTCCATTGAGACGCAGGCATATACGCGCTTGACAAACGCATGGTGGCTATCGAAGCATGTACTCCAGAAGGAGTGGCAGTCTTCCACCGATCCTCTCCAGCGATGACTAATAGCAATATTGTCTATCTGTGTCCATCGCTGAGTTGAGCTCGGTGGATGCCACTTCAGACCTTGTCTCTTCTTATGTCTGAAATTTATGCTGGCTAAAAATAGGCGATTATCTGAGCATAGTTGTAGTAGGCGACCACTGTTATCTGTTCGTTCAGCCGGGACTTCTAAAGTTCCACCTAAGTGCCTTTCTGCCTTATTCAGTCTACCCACCTGTGCATTGAAGTCACCTGCAACAACCACCACGTCCGAACGTTTAGCTTCCGAGAGGAGGCTAGACAGTTTACGGTAGGACTCGTCCTTCACTTCATCCGAGCTGCAGTCAATGGGTGCGTAAGCAGAGATTACAAAGAGACAACGGAGAGTACCCCTGTTCCTTTAGTTCTCACTGTACCGTTCAGTCGGATAGCGCAGAGGCGACTATCAACTGAGATCCAATCTAGTAGTGAGTTTTCTGCCCTAGTGCTTAGTACTATGCCTACACCTGCAAGACCGCAAGAGCTACCCCATCGAATGTCCGGAAAGAACCAATTTGACGGAGGGTTCGGACATTGAAGGCTCCAGTATGTAATTTGGAGCGTGGTCTAGAGAGACCAAAGATGCTGTTTCGTGGACTCAGGTCGTTTTCGAAGGCTGCAGAGCTAGGAGAAATTGAAGATGTAGTACTGTTAGTTGAGAGACGTGAAAGAAGATTAGAAGGTAATGATGGAGGAGGTGGATAACAGTCTGAGGAAACTTGAGTGGGGATAGAGTTGTGGTGGCGGTTGACACTTCCCGGCTGCCCACACCGTGGAAAGCTATTTCTTCTTGAGACACCTACCTGGAAGAGGTTTGTGTGACCACACAGCCCATTGGACATCTGCTTGAGGCCTGTCACACTCAGCCTTTTGTGTATGATTATTTTAAACTTTTGTTGTTTTGGGGCCGGATAGTCGAAAGGAAACGACAAATGAACCAACTCCGCCAGCCCGGCAGACCGTGGGGTATGGTGGAGTGTGTTGTTTTTGGGGCCGACCTTTTCTAACCCTCCCCCTCCCCTCCACTGAGAAGGCAGCATCAGCATGGCACTGCTCATCATCGAAGGGAAACACCTTACTGATGTCACAACCCATCCGGCTAGCAGCAGTACAACTTCGCCCTCAGACTCCCATCATAATGTAGTAATTTACACCACAACGGTGACTGCTTTTCGTCTAACAACTATCCAACAGACCTCTCTGGTATGGTAGGACCTCGAGGGAACAAGTGTTCCACCAGCATAGCTCGTTGGGTCATTGTGATATGTAAGCCCGACCCCCACGTCAAGGTAGCAGCTATCGGTCAGCAAATGTCAAACAGACTTTCCATTTCTGAGATGAGAATTCGTTAGTAACCAGCTCACTAAGTGAAATGATCGACGCAGACTTCCACTTCATAAACTGGAATATAAGACAAATCAACTGGATATATCTCTGGATGTCAGTAATACTCATTCCTTTAAACTATAGAGAACTATCAATAATTCAATCCACTAGATTGAGCAACAGAACTACTTTGATTGACCCATTAATCTTTAGTGTGCTAATTAAGAGATAAGGATTCAATTTATGTGTAGCTACTATATACCGTTTAAAAAGTTACGCATATTTTTCAATATTCTGATCAATTTTCAATATATAGAAAATAGTAATCTTTTTACAATCTTACTTGTTCCAACTCTTCAGCTCGTGTACGAAATCGATCACGTTGATTTTGTACAATGTGTAGTAAAGATTGATCAACTATAGTAGTATAACAAGAAATTGTATAATAGGAAGGGGGGAAAAAAGGAATCAATATACTCTACTCCAGAAAGTAGAGTACAATACATTAAAATAATTTAAAGTGTGAACAACTTGAAAATCAGCTATTACTTGATGTAGGGTATTGGGTGATTCGATGAATGAAGATTCAGTAATCAATCTCATTCTCCCTCCCTCCGTCCATCTCCCTCTCTCCCTCTCTCTCTCTCTCTCTCTCTCCACCTAATTATATTAAACTTAAGCGGTACAGTGGCTTTATCCCAGCCACTTTATTGCGGGGTTGTGTATTAATCCACGCATAGCAATAGCCGAATTCCATTCTATATTATTGAACTTATTGGTAGCCTTTCATTCTATATTTAGCTAAATTCTAATGTTCGGCTATTGTAATTAAACAAAGACCGGATAGTTTCACCTATGAACTTACGACATCTGATTTTTATAGTCCCGTCACCCACCTCATTTGATATACACCACACAGTGATACAGTATTATTTACTTGATAACGTTTCAAGCATAATTCAGGTTGTTATTCATCGTAGACTGACATCAGTTGGAGGAACAAAGGAAACCTAGGAGCACTAGACAGCTGTTTTGTCCCAGTATGGGAATCCTCAGCAGCGCGCACCCACGACCCCACCAGGGGTCGAACCTGCGACCTTTAAAGATAAATTATTACTGCTCATTATCATAACAATGTAATCACGAAGCACACTCGATATCTGATTTTTATAGTCCTGTCACTCCCCTAATGTTCTTTGTTTTTATTCATTGTGAAATTTTCTGTATCTCTGGTATAGGTGTCTAGTATCATTCACATTACATGTGCTGGGTTGGGTGTTGATTCAATGAACGCAGATTCAGTAGTCGACCTACCCCTCTTTCTCTCCACCTAATTATATTGGACTTCAGTGGTACAGAGGTTTTATCCCATCTACCATATTGTGTGTAGTTATATGTTAATCCATCCATTGCAATAGCCAAGTTAGTTTCCAAATTGTTGACTCTCTTGGGGTCTGTCATTCTGCATTTAGCTAAATCCCTATGTTACACTATTCTAACTGACCCCGATCGGCTAGTTTCACCTATGTACTTGACCTCACAGTCATTACATGGGATTAGATAGATTAGATTATTTTGCTTAATTGGTGCCATAGGATCCTTAAGCAAGTCAACAAAGCTTATCTCAAAGAGAGTTTGTAGATTTAAATACCACTCTAACTCCAGCCATGTTGAGAATCCTACGTAAAGTTTCTGATGTCCCTTCCTTATACGGTAACACAGTAGGAGCTTTGAACTCCTTTCCATTCGTTTTGTCGTTATTATTTCGTCTCTTATATGTTCGTAAGAATTTCTTCACAAACTGCAGAGGGTAATTATCAATTATTAGTGCTTCTTTAATGTGTTTCAGTTCCTTGTTTAGGTCTTTGCACTAACTAGTCAGTTTTCTAGATCTATCATTTAGACACTTGACCAAACCTGGATTAACTTACATTGAATGAGATGATATAGGAATGTAGCTTAATATAGAATGATAGACCCCCCAATAAGATCAATAATCTAGAAAGTAACTCGGGTATTGGAATGCATTGATTAACACACACAACCACACAAAGGGGGGCATGAAGCCACTGTACTTAAGTCCAATATAATTAGGTGGAGAGAGAGAGAGGTGGATTGATCACTGAATCTTTCTGCATTGAATCAACACCCACCTATCACATAGCAATAGAAATGATGCAACACATCTGTACCAGAGATATGGAAAACTTTACCACCAAATGAAACAGAGAATATGAAGTGGGTGACAGGACTATAAAAACCAGGTGTCGAAAATGGTGTGTGATAACGTTTGGTATGATTATGAGCAGTAATAATGTATGCTGAGAACGTCATCCAGTAAATAACACTCTATTACTCACTGCGTGTTATAAATCAAATAAACCATCCTCTGATATTGAATTATAGAATAATTTAGTTTACTAAATTCCCATGACTGCAAGATGAAATGGATAGAACAAAATAGTCAACCAGAGTCAATTACGCTATCCCAGCGCAAAAACATTCAGCTAGATCAAAATTGGTAGATCCTAGTAAGATAATAAGGAATTTAGAAAATAGTTCAGCCATAGTATGAATGCAATCATACACACAACCAAACAATAAGATAGGGACAGGGTGAAAATCCTTAAAACTAACATAACAGGGTGGACGGTGAGATTGGTAACTGAATCTCTGTTCATCGAATCAACACCTAATACATCCAGCAACAGAAATGACTCAGTACCTGTTCCGGATATATGGAAAATCCTACTCCCCATATCACCTGGATGGAATATACATGTCAGTTCCCTAACTAACCTCGAAGCTGAGAAGTCCACCTAACGGTTTGTCACTAAACGATTTTTAAAAATCCCTAACCAAAGTAACGGAGGTACCAATTGATGTATAGGAATGAGAGATGACCCCATCCAACTAGTCGGCCTCATTGATCATCGCTTGTCTACAAGAGAGAAGTGAATTCTTGCTGTGACACCCACAGGCGGATCAACTTAACTAATATCGTGTCCGAGGTCCTTGGGTCCATAGTTATCTGACACCTATGTGGAAATTGAGAAATTCAGGCAGGTTTCAAACCTCCTCGAGGCCGCATCGACCAGTCGTATGAAATATATGAATACTTAGTCGCAACTTACACTCACCATATTTCTTCACCTGAATGCGACATTTCCTATAAAAACCCCTTGGTGTATGATCTTTACATCTACTTATCCCACTATCTAAGGTTAATATTTTAAGTTGTTATTCATCGTAGAATGACATCAGTTGGAGGAACAAAGGAAACCTGGGAGCACTCGACAGCCAGCTGTTTCGTCCTAGTATGGGACTCCTCAGCAGTGCGTACCCACGACCTTCAGGTTCCGTGGCCAGCACCTTACCATTGAGCTGGCCACTGGGTCAGAATCCAATGATCCATATTTCCAACTTCTGTTAGCTCACGATATAGCGCAACCACCACCCAATGTCATCGTTGAGTAACTGCCCTCACGACCATCAGGCTTTGCCCCCACCGGTCACAAGTTCTAATTGGAACTTCGGGAATACCTCTCGAAGCTAGTCACCATTGAGCACCAGGTTAATATGTTTATCTTACCTATTTTCTTCACCATCCTATCTGAAAAATCTAACGTCAGACAGATAAGTTTCTTAATAACACTCAAGTATGTTAAATCCATTCAATCAAGTAAGTGAGTCGATTATCCTTTATATGAGTAAAACTTGTACAGTGCGCTACAATGTAATTCCATTTTTATTGACTTATCACAGTGAAGGCTTTCCGAACACCAAACATCCAGCTACATCAAAATTAGTAGATCCTAATAAGATGATCAGGGATTTAGAAAATAGTTCAGGCATAGCTATGCATGCGATTACACACAACCACACAATAAGATGGGGACAGGGTGAAAATTCATAAATCTAACATAACACAGTGGAGGGAGAGATTGGTAACCACTGAATCTTTGTTTATCGAATCAGTCAACACCTAATACATGCAGTAACAGAGATGATTCTGCATCTATTCTGAGTATGTGGAAAGTTCTACTATGCATATCATAAAGGATGTCTCAATGTTGTGGAGTCAGTCGTCTTGATATGACAATGTAAAATAAATTGTGTCCGAAACGTTATCCAGTAAACAATATTGTTCCTTTACTGTGTGATAATTCTAACAAATCAACTAGACTAGAGTCACATTCTACAATAGAGCCTAAGTTGTTTCACTCTGATATCAAGGAAGTACAGAGTTATCGAGAGAATCTATCAGATTTTACTACAAAGCTAACTTCAGAGAAGGAAGTATTACAATTGCTGTTTGTATCACAAAGTTAGTACAATACAAAGGTAGGAAGTACAAACCAACTGAAATGTGGTATTATTTCATCAAGTTATCTTCAGCCAAGTGTAGACTATTAGGTTCACGAGACAACTGATGATTCTAAGTGATTTGACACGGAATCAACCTCTACCATGCACAGGCATTCATACTCCATCTTCATGTTAATCACTTTATTACATTTCAATTTCTAATCTTTTTCACTCGAACAGTTTTATTAGACGTTTTTTATACGATAAATATTTAATGGTTCTTCGTCTTGTTGCCTTGAGATTAACCTTGAAGTGAGATGTGACAAAATGGACCACTACTGAATCGTGTCAAATTTCACGTTGATACTGATTAACTGACTAATTGAAAAGAAATGTAGAACATTGAATTCGATGAGTTTTAAATGTTATACCTTTAGAAGACTCATATCATAAATCGCTTCTACGTCATACTTTTCACTACCACTCAATACTGTGTCATTTGTTCAACCTCTGTATTGCTACATCTAACTCAAGTTGTTCCTTCCCATGCCAAGTAGTGACACTCTTCAATATGGATTTTCCGAAGTCTTAGTGAAAAATTGTTACCGGTTGAGGTAAAAACATTTTGCGTATGAGGACAAATGCTCCCCGAAGGTATTGGATGAAAGTAACACTTTACCGCGAATTGACAGAAGCAGAAAACTGTAGACCATTGAATTCTAGCCCAGTGGCTCAACGGTAACTTGTCCACGGCGAAACTGGAAGTTCCTATATTCCATGCCTCCCGAGATCATGGATTGCACTCCTGATGAGTCTTACACCGCGACAAAACAGCTATTCAATAGTCACGGATTCTTAACGGTTCTCAAACTGATGTCGGTCCATCACGGTCCATCTACTTCTACGAAGTAGAAAATGAACAAGGAGAATTACCTATGTTGGATTGCAGAATAAAACGAAGGATAGATGGTGGTTTGGAAACTATCGTCTACAGAAAACCAACACATTCTAACAGGTATCTAGACTTCAAGTCATCTCATCCAGTGTCAGTTAAAGCGGGTTTAGTCAAATGTCTAAATAACAGAGCTAAGAAACTCACTAGTCATTGTAAGGACTTAAAAAAGGAATTGAAACACATAAAAGAAGCGTTAATAATCAATAATTATCCCCATCATTTTATTAAGAAATTCACACAAACACATAAGAAGCAAAATAATAACACTAATACAAATACAAATAATAGTGACAACATAAGTAGAAAGGAAATCAACACCTCTATTGTGGTGCCATACAAGGAGGGAACATCAGAAATTATACGTAGGATTCTCAACAAGGTTGGAATTAGGGTGGCATTTAAACCAACAAACTCACTTAGAGGTTAGCTTTGTCGGCTAAAAGATCCGATAGAACCAATTAAGCAAAATAATATAATCTACCAAATCGCGTGTAATGACTGTGAAGTCAAGTACATAGGTCGAACTAGCCGGTCGGAGTCAGTTAGATGAGCAGAACATAGGAATTTAGCTAAACATAGAACGACAGACCCCAATAAGATCAATAATCTAGAAAAAGACTCAGCTCTTGCTATGTATGCATTAACGCACAACCACACAGTAGGCTGGGTGGGATAAAGCACTGTACTTAAGTCTAATATAGCTAGGTGGACATTGAGAGAGATTAATTACTGAATCTTTCTTCATCGAATCCACACCCAACACATGTGGAATAGGAATGACGCAACACCTATACCAGAGATATGGAAAACTTTACTACCAATCAAAAAACAAAAAAACAAAGAGAGATCAGGTGACAGGACTATAAAATCAGATGTCGAAAGAAGTGTGATTACATATGATATGATTATGAGCAGTAATAATTTATGCTCGAAACGTAATCAATTAAATAATACTGTATCACTGTGCACTTTATATCAAATAAACAAATCTAATATGGAACTACATTCTACCACAGTGCCCAAGTTTTTCACTTATATTAAAAGTTTTTCTTGTTTATCTTCATGATCATCTGTACTGTTGCTATGCACGAACTCTATCCGCACACTTTGAGCATTCATTAAACTAGCTGAGTTGAAGAGAACACAAAAAATTGTCTCATTCATCTTTACACTAAACCATGATAATCGATTGTACAATGTCAAAAAGACTTCGTTAGCCAAATCAACTGGTAGTGAATTATAGAGTAACTGATTGACAGAGCATAATCATAAAACAGAACTGTGAATCTCTTTGCCAGAAATTCGGAACCAAAGCAAACAAGCAACTTCTTACCAACAAACCTAACTAAAATAATGATGGATAGTGGCTAGCAATGGGATCCAGGATGCGCACTTCACCCTATTTGAGACTTATCAGCTGGATGTACCTGCTTGTTGTTTCCACTGGGATTCGGACTCGGGAGCGATCGCTTCAAACCAGATGTTCGAGTTACACGTAAAATCCAAAACACTAGATTTGTCTAGAATGCGGTTCTACATTAATAAACAGTATTGAGTAATGAAATACAAAACTTGAATCACGAGGGAGCTACAGGTTCATCTCTTTCAAAGCATTATACAAAGAGTACATCAACAGTAAAAACACCAAAGCTATGTCCAAGCAATTAGAAGGGATGCGAATAAGTTGCCATACACAAGATAAACAAATGTTCAAGGTAAAGTAGAACATCAGGAATAACGAAAGAAATTACAACACCATTATGTACTGTGAAACATACTTATATCTACGAATGTTAAATGGTTAACAACATACGATTGAACAGAATGAATAGTCAAGGATGTAGATGCAGCAACATTATAAAAAAACATGAATTATACTACTCAAAAATATTAAGTAGTATAAAAATAAAGATAAAAAAGGAGGGGAACATCCCATGGGGTAAACGAGAACAAATAAGAAAGTACGTATTTATGAACTTATGATATTACCCAGTTGACCAGACTGAAGTCAAGCAAGATTTCAACTATTAACGCAGTGGTTGGACGTCAAAAGACTACACTATTGAGCTACAGGTATGCACTAATTCAAGTATGTCACTCTTGAATTGTTTCAACTATTCGACTAGTTGTATTCTATATGGTTAACATTACGGCTTGATAATCATTCTATCCCTTGTATTCAAACATCAATTGATGTAAAGTTTGAAAAGAAGCTTATTCAATAAAACACTTTTTGTATTTATACTGGATGGCTGAAGGAGAAATGAAAATTTTGAACCGCAGCTGGATTCGAACCAGCGACCACCAGGTTTCAGGCCCGATGCTCAGTTGGTAGAGTATCCGGCTGGAAACCCGGTGGTCACTGGTTCGAATCCAGCTGCGGTTCAAAATTTCCATTTCACCTTGAATCATCACTCAGCATAAATACCGCAAATCCGCCAAACTACGGCTATCTCAAATAGTCAAAATGATAAACACTTTCACTATTCATTCATTATTCGCTGCATACTCCATGAACTATCTATGTTTCAATGAAGTACGTGATATATCTGTGTATTATATGGAGAGTTTCTTTTTAGGTAAATGCTTTAAATCACCTTCAAACCAACACATTACATGCAGGTTGATGCACTGGAGAACAATACACATCTATTGTTTGAGGGATAATGATAGATATTGACTGACTTCGGAAACCTCAGTAGGTAATGCAGAGTTCAAAGCCGTTACTTACTAGCAGTGGGATCCAGGATGCGTATTTCGTTCTATTGCGGACTCGTCAGCTGGATGTACCTGCCTCCCAGTGGGTGTTGCTCCCACCGGGACTCGGACTCGGGAGTGATCGCTTCACAGGCAATATTAAGGCATCCGTACAGGAGCCCATATGCCAACAGAGACTGATCATTTACTATTAGAAAGAACAGTGTTTAAACTACTGACAAACAAACTTGAAATGTACTCAACAATCTTGTGCAAATTTGTGTGGTAGGGTGCTATGACCGATAATGTGACTTAGCAGTTCCACGAGCGATACAAACCTAACGCGTTATCGCTAATCTGAACGTTAACCGAAACAACAATAACACTGGCATCCGGAGACAAGAAGAAAAGGTGGATCGTAGACATAGAGCTTTTCACTATCTCAACAACAGTTAATACAGTCGAAAGCATATGCTGAATATATACATTTCTAAATCACCCTGACAAACACTAAATTCACAGATAAATTCAACCTTCAAAAACAGTAGGGAAGCTAACAACAGTGCCAGGAGGGCGCGAAAACGGGTATAATAAAGTTATTTCAAGGTTACAGGCAAAATTATGGGATACCTGACATACTCAATGAACCATACCAACTGTGTGTGGTTGAAGAGATGCTGAAATCCAGCTGCCCAGATCAATGGGCCACCAATGAAAAAGTTCTGTATGAAACTATTGTAGAACTGTGGCTTGTTTGCCTGGGAAAATGACCTTTAACCGGTGGGTTCGAACCCCTGCTCCATCTATCGAGGTTTAGGTGGCACCTTATCGGTTGTTGGATAAATGTGTCAGACGTGACGAAAATGAAAAATTATAATTTAAATGTTTTTGAATGGAATGAATACTTACGCTGATTTGTTTTCTGCTCTCCAATAACTTCTGCAAGTAATTGACCCTCTAGTCGACTTCTTGAATCATTTGATCTTCGTGATTCATCAAAACCAGTTTGTAAACGATACAAATCAGATTCCAATAGCTTTATCAATTCTGACTGTTCTTCATTTCGTTGTTTCAATTCAACTTCAGTTGACTTCATCTGATTAAGTTCAACTGTGAATAGAAGAGGATTAAAAGATAATAACTAAATGAGAAATATCATCATTCCGTACACACCAATTTATGCACTCAGCTACCTTGTTCATATCCGTACAGTAGGCAGTGAGCGACAACCTATTGTATGAGGGGTAGTGATACTACCTTGATGCCAAAACCTCAGTAGATGGAGTGGACTCGAATCTGCTTCTCAGAGATTGAAAGTCACCTCCCTATATCACTCAGTTACAGCTCCATAGTCATCAACTTTCAGGGTTAGTAAGATCTAGGCACAATTTTAGTTAGTTGGATATAATCGTTAGGAAGCCCTGCTTCTTTTAGATAGCCTGTTAGTTGGCATTCGTTAGCAAGACGTATCTACAACCTCAAGGGAAATTATATCCTCTCTAAGATTTCCTACCGCGTCAACCAGTAATGTAGGCATAATCTAGAATGAATAATTTTGAGTAGTGACTCAAACATGCGCTGTAATGCACAAATTTTGTTGGAAATTTATTATGAGGCAGTCTTTTTTCTTGTCTGATGTATAATACTGAGACGGCGATTGAAATGATGTCGAAGTACTTACACACAAACACAACAGCCATCATCCTACATCAAAAACAAGATATTCAGCAAAGAGAACTCTTTCCAATAAATTTATTCTCATGTTCTACATTCATACACATCTATATGTGATATGTAAAGACTGTAACCCGTGTAGAAGATTCAGCTTATATAATCGGGATTGAAATAACAATAATAATGATGCTTACAGTGATAATATGTTGCTAGTTAATGATGTAACGGTTGGATGATAACAAAACGGAGTGACGTAAGATTTTTAAATTGTTTATAAGGTGTATACAGATGATAATTACAAAGGGGTGAAAACGTGGCAAAGTTAGAATAAATAATGAAAGAATTAGTTGTTATGAATGAGACAACAAGCTGATTGAGATGAAATGAAAAATGTTTTGTTAAAAGTTGCGATTATTAGGAGGATTAAATGAAGTAACACCGGAGACAATTAAATATAAAAATAAAACGATAATGGGGATATACGAGTACAAAGATTAATGTGACGAAGAAGAGGGGGTGAGGGTGTGGAGGGGGTTGTAAAAACAAAAAAGGGAACAAAGCACGCCTAGACTAAGATAAATTAAAGCCAAAGTAGAGACGAAGACTGTAGATACTTCGTTTGAACACAAATGTCAGGCTTCGGTTGATGGATAGCCAAGGTCTTTGGTGTTTTTAGAAGCTGAACATGGAGGGGACGTGAGATGTTTTAGGCGAATTCGAGACGGTGGAATGGTTGGAATCGACTAGATGTTCAAGGATAGAACTTGTAGATGCATCTCGTTCACCTTTATAAAACCAGGCGGGAATATGTTGTCGTATGTATGTTGACAGTAGTCTCGACTACGGTTGATGTGCCTTGCTCCACAGGAGCATTTTTCCTTTTATGTAAAAGACTATCCTTCGACAGGTCATCTTCATGTGCCAGTCCACCTGTTTTTGTGGAGTCAGAGATTGCTGTCAACACATGTACAACAACATACTACTACATACATACTGTATAGTTTTATAAAGGTGGAACGAGATGCATCTACAAGTTCTATCCTTGAACATCTAGTCGATTCCAACCATTCCACCGTCTCGAATTCGCCTAAAACATCTCACGTCCCCTCCATGTTCAGCTTCTAAAAACACCAAAGACCTTGGCTATCCATCAACCGAAGCCTGACATTTGTGTTCAAACGAAGTATCTACAGTCTTCGTCTCTACTTTGGCTTTAATTTATCTTAGTCTAGGCGTGCTTTGTTCCCTTTTTTGTTTTTACAACCCCCTCCACACCCTCACCCCCTCTTCTTCGTCACATTAATCTTTGTACTCGTATATCCCATTATCGTTTTATTTTTATATTTAATTGTCTCCGGTGTTACTTCATTTAATCCTCCTAATAATCGCAACTTTTAACAAAACATTTTTCATTTCATCTCAATCAGCTTGTTGTCTCATTCATAACAACTAATTCTTTCATTATTTATTCTAACTTTGCCACGTTTTCACCCCTTTGTAATTATCATCTGTATACACCTTATAAACAATTTAAAAATCTTACGTCACTCCGTTTTGTTATCATCCAACCGTTACATCATTAACTAGCAACATTATTATCACTGTAAGCATCATTATTATTGTTATTTCAATCCCGATTTATATAAGCTGAATCTTCTACACGGGTTACAGTCTTTACATATCACATATAGATGTGTATGAATGTAGAACATGAGAATAAATTTATTGGAAAGAGTTCTCTTTGCTGATATCTTGTTTTTGACATCATCCTACAGTCTATAAGAAATGCTATCAACAAACATTATTCTCAAAAGCAGCGAAAATACATTACAGAAATGAAGTACTACGGAAAACCGAAGAAAATATCTTTACAAAGTGTTCAAAGCCAATGACTATCCATCTAACTTTATCCAAAGGTGTTTATCACTAGGACAGAAGACAAAGTAACCGCTTCAAATCAATAGGCATGTTACACTACTCTATATCAAAGATGTTACAGAAACAATCAACCGACTGCTTCATCCTTTCGGAATCAAAGTTGCATGCAATTCAATGAAATTACCACATGGCATGTTGTGGAAACCAAAGGATTTCTTACCTTATTCTGTTGAAACTAATTTTATTAGGTATGCTGATGAACTGACTGTGTCTATTTCAATCAACTCTCACTTAGATTGTCTCCTATTGACCGATAGTCTCAAGCTTAATCTCTTCTAAATGTCAGACTGTTAATTTTAGCCTCAGGAGGAGATAAGACTTGGATGAGTTACTTAAATCTCATGACGCCTGTTACCGTACTGATGGTATTTCTGCACAAAGTAAATCGAGTGTTGACTATCTCAGATTGAGTTTTACTTCTCATCTTTGTTGGTCGTCTAGTACACTGGTGACTTGTGAAAAAATCTTTCGTTTAACTTATTACATAAAGAAATTGAGACTCTCTGGTATAACTCAGTCTGTCCACTTTTACAATTTATCAATTCCTACATTTCCCCCTATTCTTCCTCTGTATTGTTCTCCATCGATCTTTCCTGGTCTACTAAAATGGGGCTATATTACATTCTGTAAGGGGATTTGAAAGCCGTCAGTCAGTAGGGTGACTGGTGTATCTATCTCTGGCCCAACTTATTAACACTGTAGTTGATAGGCATTTGAACTGTAGCAAGGCAATTAACTATAGTAATTTTAACTGACACTGAGCATCCACTTCATTCACAACTCCATCTCTTTTTGAATCTCCTCAAGAGGGGGAGGGGGACAAAAGAAATTACAAAGGATTCTGTAGGCTCTTACAGTCATTAGAAGAACTCAACTGTGTCTACCTTACCTAACATGCATATGATGTGAGGAGAAAAGGGATGTTAGAATAGAACTCACATATATCAACTTTGTAACAGTTAACAATCCCTGTATAGTAATGGTGGGCAGTGGTTAGCAGCGGAATCCAGGATGCTCATTTCGTCCTGTTTAAGACTCGTCAGTTGGATGTATCTGCCTCCTAGTGAGTGTTGTTCCCACCGGGACTCGGACTCGGAAGCGATCGCTTTAAAAGCGAGAGCGTTACCCACTACAACACAAAGCCACGATAGCCACCTCTTGTGCGACGGGTATAGGTGCATCCAGCTGACGAGTCCCACTGTTAGCCACTGCCCATCATTACTATACATAGTTTAAAAGACAGACAATATCGAGGCATCCGCACAGGAGCCCATATGCTAACAGAGACTGATCAATTCGGTCCGACTAATGACGGTGTAATACAAGCAATAACAGTTAACAATCTCATTCTAACAGTTTAATTAACAATGTAAAATGTTCTCGTTATTAATATTCATTACACTACTTAAGCTGTTATAATAACACAATTCGAAATGTTGTAAAGGAGTATATGCATACACACATATATGATGTCGTTGTTGTTGGAATATATCATTCTGAGAATTCCAAATTGTACCACAAATTGTTTGGAATAAAGTGAATTAGTATTATTTTTAAAAAGCCACCTCATTCACTCATCGACTGACTGGCCTACCTTGCTTAGTACGCTTCGCTTAATCCTGATATTACCCATATGGCAATACCACAATACATGAAGAAGGTTACGATGACATATACGTTTGGAGACTTATAATCTCCTTTACTTTTAAAGGCCATGACTGACAGCTTAGTATACTCGTCCTTCAGTAGGTAGTCAAATATCTTGCACTCAACGGAAGAGATGATGAGGATTGGCAAATCCCAAATAGACCTTCTGTATCCCAGTTGAGATCTAGTCAACAACCAAGTCAGTCAGGCCTGTTTGAAGTGGAAACGTATTCAACCACATTACTCCCCATCCTTAAACTGGGAATAGTTGCAGATCAGTTCTGAAGCATAATTTTACATTTCACAGATACCTGAGAAAAGCATGCTAAAAATATACAAATTTCTGATCAATGTGTAGAGAAGACTCAGCATTTTCTCGGCGTCTTTACGCAGAAGGACAATATTGTCTGTGTTCTCCAAATCAAATACATGCCCTACAGGTAGTAGATCAGTCTTTGTGAATTCAGAGCTACCTAAGGTTATTAACATTGGTACAGAAACGATGACAACGAGCATCCGGTGCGAACATCAATGGACATCGTTAATTGGAATGACGACTCTTCAGAGATTCTTACACGGTTGCGTGAGTTCGAGTAGAGTGCCTCGAACTGCACTACATACTTTCTCGATGTTCGCCTTACAGTAAGACACTGCCACAACACATCTCGGTTGACAGAGTTGAATGCCACCTTCAGCTCCAGAATGGCAGCTAGTGTCGACCGCTGTTAAGTAAGCCTGTGTTCCAAAAGGTGAAGGGCAAAGTCTGATTGATGCACCCTCGTGCAGGTCTGAAACCTGCCTGGTTTTTTCAAGTTCCATTTAGGCGTTGGATAACTATGAATCCAAGGATCCTGGATGCCATGTTAGATTGGTCCGCCTACCGTTGTTACAAGAATTCTCTCCCCTCTCATGGGATGATCAGTTAAGTACATCAGTGTGACAACACTACCCCTGATTCTTATACACTACCTAGTACCGCCGTCACTCTTATCAGCAATTTCCTACCTCTAACCTTGGAAACTTCAGGTGGCGAACTATGAGGTCCTGCTGTTTCACATAGCTTCAAGGAAAGTTGCAGGGCCGATATTACGTCCTATTCCGAATTAGGATGGATGTTGAGAAGCTGAGGGGTGCTGAAGGCCAGTTGCACAGTGCTTCAAAGTATTCCACCCAACGTTCTAGCCGCCTATCCAGGAAGGTTATCAGCATCTCATCCTTTTCGGTGGTGGTTTCACTCACCATCGTCATTTTTTGGCGGTATCCTTATTAGGCTGTAATCGTTTTTGAGTTTTACCCACCGCTGATGCCTGTTTCATCTCTCACGCTTTCGCCATTCACCACTGCTCACTATCATTGCGAAGACTTGCTCAACTTACGTTTAAGTTACTTTCGCTATCCAACATCGTCAGAGTCAGCTGAAATCAGTCTTGTTACAATAATCAGTCTGGTTAAATCGTGGAAATCCAACGATGTTTACTAACCTTCGGGTATAGGTTGCCAATCGTCTTTCCCGCTGATTTACGGCAGACTTATTATAAGGTCAGGTTTCCTCAGGATGAGCATTTCTGTCACGTTCTAATAAGTACATAGCTAACTCTTCTCTAAATGCGTACTTGGCGTCGTCATCTACCAATCGAGCAGAGATGGGCATCAAAGTTTGTTTCCTGCGGCTAGTGAGGCGCAGACAATGACGAGCCTGTACTAGAGCGTGATTGAAGTTCAAACTGGTAGTCCAGAAAAGGCGGCAATCCTCCACCGATCCCGTCAACGACGGCCAATAGCAATATTATATACATATATATATGTCCGCCACTGCTTTGACGTCAGTGAATGCTGTATGAAACAATGTTTCCTCTCATTCTTGAGGTTGGTGTTGTCCAGAAACGAGTGATTGTCAGAAAAAAGTAGCAACGGACGATCATCGTTATCAGTTCGTCAGCGTGGAATACTGTGGCTGTGAAACATTACCATTGAAGGTGGAAGACATGAGAAGGCTGGCTTCAGGTGTTTGACCATCACCGTTACCTTCGTAGTATAGGCCCCATTCCGTCATGTCACCACGTGAGTAACGCAGAAGTCAGGTGTAGAGCTCTAGGGAGAAGAGGTAGGTCAGTTGACACGTTGTGAACCCTCATAGACTCAGATGGCTGGTTCGGACATCTGTTACGTAGGCCTAGTCGCCCATTGCTTCGTTACACTATGTCGGCCAAAATAGGTCCAGGCTGGAAAAAGGCGACAAAGGGACGACCAGACTAAAACAAGCACCAATGTATAAAGTGTTTGACTGTTGGTTTGAACCATATGAGGGGATGCAGACTAGACGGTTGGGGTCCGTGGGACAAGAGAAACTAGTGGTTGGAGACTGACTCTAGATGATATGGCTCAGAACTGATGTCAGTGACGCAGATATATATATATATATATATATATATATATATATATATATATATATATATAATCCTCATCTTAACACGATAACGAGTCTCACCATTTTGCCATTCTTCCTTTCTCTCTTTTCATACTTTATATTTCTTCTGACTGCATTCTCTTATCTTCATCCTTCACGTTACTACGTTTCTACTTGATGTAGTGATGAGCTGTGGCAACGCGGACGGTTACGCAGTAATGCCTGGTCCTATGTTGATATTGATGATGATGATGTGGGATACCATGGATACTTCCAAGAAGCCTTGGCGAATGATTCAGTTTTCCTACTTGAGCATTGAAATCGCCTGCTATTATGACTGTATCTGATTTTTGGTAGAATTCATCGTTCGCATCAACTAAACTGTAGCCGGTGGGTACATAGGCAGACATTATGAATAGGCATCGGTTATTCTGACCTTCTCCCTAGTTCTTACAGATATCCATTCAGATGGAAAGCACACAGATGGCTGCAGATTGGTATCCAGTCCAGAAGTGTACTTTCTACTCGAGAACTTAGCGTTTTATCTACACTAGTAAGTCCAGAAGAGTCATTGAATATTAGTAAATTTGTAAATTCAATTTTGTAGACTCATCGTAATGGTCAGGTGAGGTCAAGGGAAAAACCACAATCGGGTTCTGTATACTTTTCTCAGAAAAATAGTATACATTCGTGGTTCGAAATTTCAGAGTTCAGCTATGCCTGCTGTTCGATTTGGCATAGAATCTGGACGTTGGATGATGCAATATGAAACCAACAGCTGGGTTTTAGGAGATTAAGAATGGTGTTTTTATGGCTTAGATTTTCGGCAGTGGTAGAAGAGTCAGAGTAACTTATAAAAGGCTTACTATTGGTATTAGGAAGTGAAAGCAGAGGAGGAGATAGAGTTGAGGGGATAGGATATGTTCGATTGGGTTTTGTGCGGACGGTTGATACTTCCCGACTGCTTACATCGTGGAAGGCTATTTCCTCTTAAAGTGCCTGGAAGAAAAAAAGATTTCTGTGACTACGGAGCACATGGGACATCCACTTGACCCCTGTCACACACAGCTTTTTGCCGATTATTGTTTTGAGACTTGGTTTCTTTAACGCCAGAGAAAGAAAACCTACACAACCAATACCTAAGGACCGCAGAGCAGGAAGGAATCTGCTTCTTTTCACGTCAACCCTTCTCAACCTGACCTCCAATATGGAAGAAAGCATCAGCATGGTACAGCTAGTCATCGAAGGAGAATATCTCACTACTGTCACACCTCCATCTACCCAGCAGTACAAGTTAGCCCTTGGATCGCCATCACAGAGTATAATTTACATTATAACAGTAACCGCTTTTCGTTTTACCATTATTCGACCGATCTCGTTGGCATAATAGGATCTCAGGGACCAAGGGTTCCGGTAAGTGTAGGCTGTTAGATAAGTATAATATCCAAGGTCGGTCATCGCTTCAAGGTAGGAGATATCGGTCGAGTGAAATGATATCAGATGTTTAGTATCAATAATTATGTTACAAATTGCAGTAAGGCATCTAAATAAAAACTACTAAACATACTGGAGCAAAAGGTATTCATTCCAAAACCTAAGGTGTAACAACACCGATGTTAAACTGAAAACACTAAAGTTTGCAGAATGACTTTAGATAGGATAATAGTAACCTAACCTGGTGAATTGACGTTCGACATGAGGCACATGTACAGAATTCGAAGGGACTTACTTTGTAATCTTTCTCGAGAGGTATTTACTTCAGCCAACTGATTCTCGAATGCTTTGTTCTTTCTTAGAAGAAGCACCTCCAATGGAACACAGTCAACCGATTCTTTTGTATGACTTTCAGAGCTATACAATTGTTCTCCATCTTCAGGAAATTCAATAGAACGCAGAAGAGATAGTTCACGTTTTACTTCTTCATAATCTGACTGTTTATCAAGTTTAATATTGGCTTCATCTAAAGAATTTCTAGTTTCTAGTATCACCTTTTCTATATCTTGAATCCGATTCTGTAAGGTTGTCTCGTTTGAAAGTTTTGACAACTTTAACGATTCCAACTGATCAAGTAGTGAGGATTTCTGAAATCAGGCAAAAAAAAAAACTGAATGATACTACTAACTATACATCTAACACAGGAATAAAGAGAGAAGATGAGGATCACATTACAGTAGACTACGTCACTAAGATTCATAGTACCGATAAAAGTAAAATATACATGCATAACGTAATGGTCCTACATATCTTCAAGTAAAGCAATGTAATTGCAACAAAATGGATAAACAGATCAAAGCAGAACTTTGTACATAAATAAAAATTGACTATAAAACAAATAGAATGATATGAGAAGACGCTTATATAAACATCACGATTTTTTTTAAGATGATAAAGTGTGGGTACAACACCACAACTATTGTTGACTTTCAGGTATCACTAAATCCCAAAAATGCAAATTAGGAAGCTTACACACTCTTTTTTACAGCTCAAATCAACAATTGAAGGTCTTGTAGGTCAATGAAATATCCTGATCAGGTTACCCTTGACTTTCCTTTAACTTAGTCCTACTCTAGCCAATATGGTGCACCGCTATAAATGGTGGCTCAGCCACCTTAATCGATGTAGGTTCACAACCTTATAGGCTAACTTGCCTCCCTCACTTACTAGTTTGTTAACTACGGTTCAATAGCACAGGCATCTGCGTTTCAACCAGCTTCTAGATATGCAGAGGTTTAAGTAGCTGGTAGCAGCACAACAGATATGCTTTACTACCTGGTGTATGGGAATACATATGGTCCCAGACAGGCAGAGAGTACACCCAACTGCATACGAATCGCAAAGGCCAGAAACACAAACCATTCATAAAAAAATATACCTCCGACACTGTCTCTTAGACAAAAGTAGTGAGTAAGAAGAAAGCTCATTTGAACTTACCTCCTGAGATAGATTGGATAATTCATACTCAAGTTCTTCAACACGATACTGAAGTCGGCTAATATCTGCAACTGGTACACTTGGAACATGTGCACTATCCTCACGCAATCTGGCCAATTCAGCTTCAGCAGATGCAAGTTTCTGGAATACAATGTAAAGAGGAATTTTTATTCATAGATTACTGAACTTTACACAAACTTAACCATACACAGGTTCACGAAGATTCTGTGACACATATGATGTATAAGAGGTTATCGACTATCAAACACTATACTCTGAAGGCTTAGAGTGGACGGTTGAACTATACTCAATAAATGAGCGTTATCCTTATTACACAAAACAAATGAATGAAACCAAAAGAAAGCTATTTATGAAGTTAGTCCTGGGGACATCGCCAAGCTTGGTGATGAAACGTCCATGACAAAGTATCAAAGCTCAGAGAACACCAAAGCTTAATTTGTTACTTGATGTGCTAATTTAAGGCGTGGCATCTAAAACCGTTAGGCAGTAATGCCTAGTCTCATATTGATGATGGTCATCTGAAAAAGTTACTTTAAAGAGTGAATGACAGAAACCATGTCAGAAGGTTAACAATATAGTTTGATTGATGCACCTATGGAAAATTGTCCAGATGAATCTTTCAAATATGCATCATCATCATGAAGATGAACATAGGACCAGGCATTACTATGTACCGGTCCATGTTGCCACATTTCATTTTAGCGCATCAAGTAACAAGGCAATAAAATGGAAGATAAAGAAGGAAAGGAAAAACGATCAAAGGAAGTCGAAGTCCAAAGCAGTAGAAGAGAAAAAGGAAGGATGAGAAAATGATGCGATTAAGTATAGCGGCTAAGATAAGGATCATGTGTGTATACATCTGCACCACTGACATCGGTTCTCAGCCATATCACTTAGAGTGGCCAACCATTGGTTTATCTTTTCCAGTGGACTACAACCTGCTAGTCTGTATCGCTACACATGGTTCAGAAAAACAGTCAAGGACTTTATGCACTGATACCATGTTTCAGTCTGGCCACCGCAAACCTTTTTCCAGCCTGAACCTACCTCGGTCAACATTGTATGACGAGAAAGACGATGGCTAGGTATAGGCAATACACGTTCCACCTATGTCAGTCTATGGGGATTCACAACAGCATCAACTGACTTACCTCTTCTCCCTAAAACTCTACACCTAACTTCTGTACTACTCACATGGTGACACCACAAAACAAATATGCAATTATAATGATCCAGTTCAGTTCGGTACAAGTAGATGTAATAAGCTATGAACCTTACTTCATATATGAAGGCCTATTGTATTACCTAGTCACCCAAACTGAAGTGACTAAAGCGGGATTTAAACCTAAAACCCAATGTATAACAAAGAACGAATATGAAAAAGCAGGATTTAATGAATTCATAAATTTCAGTAGTGCTCATCAGCTGGATACTCTAGAAGTGAACAGTTTTTACAGGTCAAGCGGTAATATAAAGGGCAGAAATGAATATTCAACAAGTATGCAAAATGGGTGGGAAGCAGAACAATGTCCCTAACAGTGCACAAGAAACCAGTCTACACCATCTTACTATTCAAAGGTGACGACGTGCTAAAAGTAGTTAGACGAAGAAGTCTGTTAGAAGGATTTACTACGCTGCTAAACTCGTTGTCCTCAGCACCACGAAAAGGGTACTGTGACAATCAGGGAAGGACAGATATCCCATTCTCGACACATCTAAATGCATATATCAATTCGAATGTACCTGAAGGAGAAAATATAGTAGTCGTAAGGAGAGGAGTCTGTCTACCCGAATGGTTGAGTACCTACCAAAATGGTTGAAGCATGCCCAGAAGAAGACCCGAAGGGACCTCGATAATGAAACACCTAATGGAGTATGGACATGATATTGATGCTTGCAAGTCCTTTACGGTTATCAGTATGTAGCAAAATAAGAAGTTGCTTGGAATTGCAGACGCCTGTGCGATTCGAGTTATCAAACCAAACTTTTGCAATCAGAAGGAAATGGTACACAGCTTGAATCTGCCATGGTAGGAATTACAACATTGTCGAATCATATTCAATCTCTCTTACTTGCTCTTCGCTCTTAATTATCACTCATCTGATATTTTGTTTTCCTTCCTTGATTTGTTCCACCTAATTAGCCTTATTCCTATCACCATTGTTATCATTAATAATTATATCAATATACACCTGGTTTTCTTATTATGTCTGCATAAGTACTACTAACTATCTTGTTTTCAATGACGTGATCGACGCTCACCCTTGTTTTAACATTATTATTATTATTATTATTATTATTATTATTATTATTATTATTATTATTACCATTATTTTCATACCTGAAATCCACTATCATGCAAACTGAGTTAACCCATACCCAACCCAGTTAATTTTTAATATCCATTTCTACCCCCTGCATTAATATCTGACCCGTAAAAACTGTTCACTTCTATGTTGTTACACCTAAACCTGTCTCGGTCTACATTGTATATATATATATATATATATATATATATATATATATATATATATATATATATATATATATAAAGGTGTTCCAGACAATATAACCTAAGTAGGTCGTAGTAACAGGTGTAGGAGTTAGGGTTGGGATTCGTACGGCAACTTTAACCAGCCTCTCTCTCATAACCATCGCATCATAATTTGAATTGACTTAGAAATAGTGTAGATTTTATCTATTATCATCTATGGCGCGTCACGAAAGGCATTTCCAATAAACTACAGACATTCATCAACAACTGCTTACGCTCGCTACTGAAGATCAGATGGCCGGAAAGAATAAGCAACAAGGAGCTCTGGGAACGAACCAACCAAGAACCTATCACGCAACAAATACGCAGGAAGAAGTGGAGATGGATTGGGCATGCACTGAGAAGACCGACTGAGGACATCACGCGTCAGGCCCTCGAGTGGAATCCCCATGGGAAGCGACGAGTTGGACGTCCGAGGGTGACATGGAGGAGGTCGTGCGAGGAGGAAATGAGAGCTTCTGGGCTGTCGTGGGACCAGGTTCAAAAGATCTCAGAGAACAGAGGTCACTGGAGGCGTGCTAATGAAGCCCTATGTTCCACTAGGAACCCAAGGGACTAATAAAAAAAATAATCATCTATGACGTACAGAAACTACTAATCTCGATATCTGTAATGAGATAGGTAAAGAAAAAGCTATTTGAAACTGACTTAAGTAAAGTAAACAAGAACAAATTTAATCAAACTCTACATTTAGATTATTACAATGGAAAACAGTAAATTTTCAATGTTTATGTCCAATAGTTGAACACATTGAACGAAAAATGTATAGAAAGGATAGTATGGAATATATTTTTTTATAAAACTCACTGCATTTGACTTCTCAAGATCGTCTATAAGTAATTCAAGTTCAGATGACCTAATTATAAACATAAGGTAGGTAAACACAGTGTATGAAACTAACCGGCCGGTTTCACTAGCATTCACTTGAGTTTTAAGCCGAAATAGCTCAGATTGTGCCAATTCCAGTGCTAAAAATATAAAAATTGACAAATCTGGAAGCTTAAAAACTATTATTATTATTATTATTATTATTATTATTATTAATCACACTCTAAGCACAGTCTCACTGTAAGTGACAGTTGAAAGTTATTTCTGCTAATGAGTTGAAATGAAATACAATATCATTTAGCGGTTAGATGTAGCTAAGTGAGCTAAGTGAACCTGAGTGCTGACAGAGTTGTGAGGGCGATTAACACTTCCCGGCTGCCCACACCATGGGAGGTACCTCAAAGACATTTGTGTGACCACACAGCTCATCGGGCATCTGCTTGAGGCCTGTCATACCCGGCCTTTTGAGTATGATTACTTTGAAATTTTGTATTTTTTTGGGGCTGGATGGTCGACAGGAAACGACAAATGAACCAACACCGCCAGCCCGGCAGACCGTGGGGTATGGTGGAGTGTGTTATTTTTGGGGCCGACCTTCTCTAACCCCCCCTCCCCTCCACTGAGAAGGCAGCATCAGCATGGCACTGCTGGTCATCGAAGGGAAACACCTTACTGCTGTCACAACCCATCCAGCTAGCAGCAGTACAACTTCGCCCTCAGACTCCTATCATAATGTAGTAATTTACACCACAACGGTGACTGCTTTTCGTCTAACAACTATCCAACAGATCTTTCTGGTATGGTAGGATGTCGAGGGAACAAGTGTTCCACCAGCACAGCTCGTTGGGTCGTTGTGATATGTAAGCCCGACCCCCACGTCAAGGTAGCAGCTATCGGTCGAGGAGCTAAGTGAACATGCCATTTTTAATTAAAGAGATGATTTTCGCCGAATAACTACAAAACACTCACTTGCAATCCACTTAGATGATACTTTATCAACTTTATCGTTTATGTAAGCCTTTTTCCTATTACTAGTTTTGTTATGCCTAGATAATCTAATATTACTCTTTGAATGGGGTCTCTTGAGAATTTTTTCAGTCGATGTGAGGTAAGAGTTTTTATTAGTTGACTTACCTTATCAATAAATATATGCCTAATCTTCACATTGCTCACTGTGGTCAGATCATATATGAATAATGCAATGAAGGCAATAACGATTTACAATCTGCAGTTATGCTGAATCATCTATGTCTAGCTGTACTTTTTTTCAACGGGACATATTAGAACACATTTAGCTATGACGTAATATACTCAACAATCAGTAGACAGCTGGATGCTTTATTGACACCATAGATGTTGGTTTGTAAATACTAAACTAGCCTTTTTTGATTCTTTTGTTCACCTTAAGTTATAAACAAATACATACAGCGATTACGAAAAACCAACAACATACATTAAGCGTGACCATGCAGAAAAATGGAAATGCACTGACTCAGCAACTATGTGCAAATTCATGCAGTAGCCAATGAGCTACACCTAATGTGTGAGTAGGAATGATACTGCTACCTAGCTACCTGAAGCCCAGTAGGTTGAAAGTTAACCTCCTAAACCAATAAGCCACAACTCCACCATAACCATCGATATGAAGAGAGAAACTTCGTATAAGACCCCATATTAGGCAGTGATTAGTAACACTAGTAAAAATGCCTGTCAATTAAACCTAGACAACTCACCAGCTGGATGTACCTACTTTCTCACCACCTAGATGCAAACTGTTGCTCCAGGATTGGTATTTAATAGTGCCTCGGCTAACAATAGAGAGTGTAGTGGTTGAGTGAATAGGATCAGCCCTGGTCGCCCAGAGGCCGATGAAATCTCTGCACGGATATAAAAGGATCGGTTGACTTCTGCTAACTGACGCCATATGTGGCGCCCCAGAATATCCGATTGTCTATTAAGGAGGAGTTCACTGCACACCAGTCAGCTCTAGTCTACTCTACGGCTGTGAGACATGGCCATTGGAGGTGGAAGACATGAGAAGGCTGGCTTCAGGTGTTTGACCATCACCGTTACCTTCGTAGTATAGGCCCCATTCCAACCTGTCACCACGTGAGTAACGCAGAAGTCAGGTGTAGAGCTCTAGGGAGAAAAGCTAGGTCAGTTGACACGTTGTGAACCCTCATCGACTCAGATGGCTGGTTCGGACACCTGTTACGTAGGTCTAGTCGCCCATCGCTTCGTTACACTATGTCGGCCAAAATAGGTCCAGGCTGGAAAAAGGCGACAAAGGGACGACCAGACTAAAACAAGGCACCAATGTATAAAGTGTTTGACTGTTGGTTTGAACCATATGAGGGGATGCAGACTAGACGGTTGGGGTCCGTGGGACAAGAGAAACTGGTGGTTAGAGACTGACTAGATGATATGGCTCAGAACTGATGTCAGTGACGCAGATGTACACACACGCACGCACGCACACACATTATCCTCATTTAAACGATGCTATACCGAATCTCACCATTTTCCTATTATTCCCTTCTCTCTTTTAGTACTTTATATATTTTTTGACTGAACTTTCTTGTCTTCATCTTCCACCTCACTGCCTTTTTACTTGATGTGGTGATATGAGCTGTGGCAACTCGGAGTGTTACGCAGTAATGCCTGGTTCAATGTTGATTTTGTTAGGTGATGGATGCACCTGCGCTCCACTGACCAGAAGTTTAACCCAAAAAAAACGATTAGTGTAGAAAACAGTGAAATATGGCTTCATTTTTTATGTACAGTCGATAGCATAGAATTCTACAGAACAGTAGCCCGGAAGAAAACTACGCAGTGATCCTGCATATTAGAACACGATGGAAAGGCGTGAGGAATTAGATTGACATTACCATTATCATTACCATATCAAATAAACATACTGATAATTATACAGTCATTCGATAAAGTCTAAACGAAATTCATGATGTCTCTAGGTAGATCAACATTTGGCATATAACGCGCATCTTACGGCAAAATGTCGAAGCCCTGTTGAAAAGAATCATTCTTACGGCACACGAATAAAGGTACACTTTTCATAAAATAAATAAATTGAAATTGTCCTATTACTTCTATTAGCCAAACGAGACAATGATCATTAGATCACAAGATATTGATGCTTCTCATAACGCTTTTAGAAAATACTGAGATCAATGCAGATAAGTTTAGTAACACAAACATATTGATCTCAATCTACGTTTTGAAACCAAAAGTGATTAGAACCTACAAAAAAAATCTTGCTATCAGTAAGGTATCAAAGTCCTTTACAGTTACATATGTTTGCGAAACATTCACTATAACTTAATGTCATGTGGAACAGGGTTAAAGTGGAATAACGCATAGGATCTCTAAAAAGAGCTCGAGTCCACTGAATTGTGGTCTAGTATGTGGGAAGGTTAACGCTATGTGAATGAATCACTCGGAGTATTTAAAGTCAACAATGCAGTTTAAAATCTATCGCACTGACAACAAAGTATTTTTCTTTCATCTTGCTCAAAATTCTGAAAACTTCAGTGCTTTTGCTTCAGATGTCTCTCTCCTTACTCTTCTTCGATATTGTAAAATGTGACACACTGAATATTTATTGAGATTCAGTGTCATTTTTTCTGCTTGGCTGACATGAGAGAAATAAAAAACCTACGATGAAATAAAGATCGACAGCATGACAGACGCTGGATGACATGTTTCTCCTGGAGATTTGTTTAACTCAGTCTTGACGTTTTGTGATGAAGTTACTGTTATCAACAGGTATTAAAAGGTTGACAAGTGATAAGTGAACTCCTGTCAGGTGATCATAATTCTAAGAATGAAAATGCTAGCATACTGAAATTAAAATAAGAGGTGATTAAAAGTAGCTTCAGGATGAAGACGTAGATGAACTGCTGCAATATGAAGTCTATGAAACAATTTCATTAATAAGGAAAACAGACATAAAATCAAGAAATTGAAGCTACGGAAATAACCTCTTGATAGATTCGTATGAATTACTTATGTCTAGTACTCAGATATTTCAACCACTGTTTACGAATAGCTTTAACCTTTGAAACGTATAATGTTAATGTAACTGCCAATGACCAATTATTATGCGCTGCCATTTTATGACATATATGACAAAAATCAGATCAACGAAAAAGAAATGACATGTAACTAACAACGTACCTTTAGAAATGGCCAGGTTTTTGGCTTCTAAGCTGTTCAATTTTTGTTCTGCTTTATCCTTAAATATGGCAAGCTCTTGCTCTTTTGACTCTAATTTTCTTTGACATTCATCCTCTAACTTAGAACTGCTCATTTGGATTTTAGAATCCAAAGAATTGGACAGTTCATCAAGACGCCGTTGTAGCCGCTTATTTTCACGCTCTGATATAAACTGGAAACTAAGTACGTACCATAATTTTTAAGTTCCTGAACCTTTGTTTTCAATTCATCACAGCTTTCCTTAAGTTTACGTGATTCGAATTCCAGTTCTGAGGCTTTCTCAGCTCGCTTCTGAAGAGAATGGAGCTCATTGAGTGCAAAGGAAGGATCTAGGACAAAGTCATTCGGCTGTGATCACAAAACCTGGCAGGTCAATCAACTTTTTGTAGATTGAGAGATAAGCATCCTCTGAATATTTGCATCTTTTCTGAACAGCATCAAACTCTGTCTGGTAACACTTAACAATTGTCATGGCAGACTTCCGCACTTCCTACAAATAAAGTCACTGGAATAGTCTACCTACCTCAGAAGCAGACTTCCGGAACTCTTTTGTATGATTTACTAAGTTGGCCCTAGAAATGTCATTCTTCTCGTGGTTCGAAGTCAACTCAGTTGCTACTGACTCCAACGTTTTCTTTTAAAGTAAAGTGCTGAAAAACTATGGGATACTTGTAAATCACTGAACTCCACATCACGCCAAGAGTTATACACAGAAGTTACAACAGCTTCCATAACCGCAACGTGTAACGCATAAAACGCGGTATTCAGAAAGTTCCAATGTTTGATATCTTCTGACAAGTTACTGTAAGCCATTTGATTTATTCGCACTTGCTTCCAGGTTTTACGGACCGGTTACAGGTAATCACTGAGTTCGGATGTAGTATGTCTATCCACTCGTCTGCTTTAGCTCTGGTTAGGACAACGGGCAGTTGGGTGTTGATTAAATTTGTGGAGTGCATATGAATTCTCCAACGGTCGTATCACCAAACATTTGTTTGGACTGGTTGTAAAACGAAGATGGAAAGGGAGGTAAAGTTTTGGGTGAGATCAAGTGAGAGGAAGTATGAAAAACAAGATGAAAAGTAGCAGTGAGGTAGGGAAGGGGAAATCTAGGCAGATTCAGCGTAAACATCCGTGGCAACTTATTTAATTTGATCTTAACTCTTTGTGATGCAGCTACCACTATCAACGATAGTGAGAACCTTAATGAATAGGGTATGTTATCGAGTACGTGGGATGAGAAGAAACGAGTAAGATGACGGATTGTAGAAATTGAAATGTTATTTGTTCACTGGAGGGAAGACGTCTAATATAGGAGTTTAGGATTAACCTAAGTTTGTGGTTATGTCGACAGTGCCTAAGACTCTTCATGGGGTTGACTGAGCTGGATTGTGCGGAAACGGGTGGTTGTATTTACGCAATCCGTATCCCATCTAGCACAAACCAAGCGTCTCTGCGTAGCTCGCCAATCGTTGTTTGAGGCTGTTTATGGACGAGGCGGTAGCAATCTCCGCAGGAAATCTGTTTCAGAGCCCACAAATCCACTGGGAGTAAAGATGTGAACTTACAGTATTTCTCGCCGTTTGGCGGGTTTTTCAATTTGGGCTATCATGTGGGTTGCCGCAGTGGGGGTTGCGTAGGTTTCCACTGTTCAGTGAACTTGGATTTAGTAAACCATTATCTAGTCACCACGTAACCCACGGTAACTAAGACAGGATAGCTCTATGCATTTCAGTCTGTCCTCACAGGGTTTTTGCCACGCTCCCGCAGTACCCTCCTTTTCTCGCCCTCTGACTCTCTCCAGAAGGTTCACACATTTTTTCAGTTATGGTGGTGCAGCGACGTTGAGGACCTGTCGGTGGGTTTGTTTACAGGTCTTGTGCAACTTCAGGAAGAGTCTTGGAGTAGGGCACTTAGTTGTCTGAGTACTGATTTTAGTAGTTAGTATGCTTTGTGGGGATCTCTTGGATACTTGGATCCTGTCGGTCAATGTTAGTTACAGGTTGTTCTCCTTAGTGGACTGGGGATGTTGCCTACCACGGAGAGAGCAGGATGCTTTTACGAGCCCGGGTACGGAGAAACTTGGTTGGGCATTTATCCAGTTAAGTGCTACTGGGTTGTTATTTGCCCACTTAGAAAGCAATCTGAGCTCCCTTTGCAGTGCAGCGGATTCTGCTTCAAACGTCATATTTATTCACAACATCGTCAGCATAACTAGAACCAGGTGGCCGAGATTCAACGGGGGCCATTCACAGTAAGAAGGACAAGAAGCGGATCCATAATCGCTCCCTGTGATATGCCAGATGATGATGTCCTCCGAGTGAGGCGAACCTTGTTGACTTTTGTGCGAAATTTCCTACCGTTTACACTTTCCTCCAGCCAGGACGGGACCTAACCGCTGATATTCAACCATGCCGTTTTGCAAATGGGAACGTCATCCAGGACTCCGTCGGGGGCCTTGGCGAAATTCAAAAAATTAACATGGACGGAGACTTAGAGGGCTCGGCATCCCGTTCAGTTATCACTGCCTGCCAGAAGGTTTTAGGGGCAGGGCCCACCCATTAGGACACTATGTTGGGCATCACAGAGTGTCCCTATTTTGTCCAAGTACTGCCTGACATAGCAGTCAACCATGATCTCCACTATTTTCAACAGCACTGGTGGAAGTGCCACACACCAATAGGATTTCCAGTCCTTTAAATATTCCTATTTAGGTATTTAGGAAAATGACAGACTGAGGGGAAAAATACATTCCGTTTCAATCAGGCAAACCGAGAAGGAATGTATTCCTTCTCTCAACCATTCTGTTTTCTAAATTTTAGGTTCTGTCTGTCTCCTTCTTTGAAGGCAGGGGAGAGAATAGCACCTTTCCATTCTCATGAAAGCACATGAGAAGTGCAGAAAAGGATTACAGAGTGGACCACGCAAGACACCCATGCACTGTTTCGACTCAGACGGCCAAATGCCATCGCACCCAGATGATTTTCCTAAGCGCAGCTTCGACAGCTTTTCGAGTATCATGGCAGGGGCTTCATTTGCTTCATGCGGCTCCTCTACTTTAAGCGGTTATGAAAATTGCGTGGACATTTTGCAGTTTTGGTTGGTTGACAGAATGTTTAATTGCGTCAACGGTGGGGCTAAAAGTGTCGCCAGTCTGCGGTAGGCATAAGTTCCCTCCGTTCGAACCTTTCACACAGCGTCCTTCCTGGGGGCTAGATTTTCTCTCAGCCACGGGGTTTGCCCCAAACTGCTGGACAATATTTATCAGGGATGACCTCCAGACCAATTTATTTTGATGTTACATCGATTCCTTAGAGCCATGTATACACTATTTTTATACACCAGGGTCCCGACAGTACAGTCTCATCAGCCTCTCCAACTTTGAGATGGTCAGCCATGAACACTACCACTCCCAGATCACTGTGCTCCTTGTCTCTCCTTAAAAGATGTATAGTGTCTACACTGGCTTCACTGTCACTAATATCTAGCGATAACCGCGTTTATGCCGAGATTACAGTCTTCGGGACAGGACAAGGGCACAGAGATCGCACTTCCACCATCTACCCTCCAATTCCCGTCGTGTTACAATTAGGACACTTGGAGGTTCTTCTAAAAGAAATCAAGTATTCAGTTATTGCAGATCTTAGACGGTCACATATTACGGTTAAAGGTGGCGTTGAAGCTGCTCGTCACTTGGCCCTTTTCGGACTACTCACAGGCGTGACTGCCCGTGGAACGTCTCCTGTATTCTGAACTCATTTGTGGTAGTGATTAGTGTAGGTGCCCGCATCTAGGTAGACACTGAGGTGTCTTTTACAGCCCTCCTAACCAAGTCTGTAATCAGGAGAGGCTTGGTCCGTCACTGCGTGCAGATATGCCGGGGGCGTGTGCGTTTATGATGCCTCATGAAGAAGTAGTTCTGGTTCAATATTTCCCTATCACGTCGACAGCATGTTTACCGTCGACTTAAGTTGTCAACCTCACCATCGGTTCTCCGGTTGTACGACTCAGAAAATTGCCTAGAGCCTTCCACAAGTCCAAGATACGTGATCGAGTGACAGAAGCAATTTCGCAGATGCAGCAAAGTGAGATAAAGCAGGTAGTCGAGACAGCTAGACCTAACACACAGTTGTCCGTTTGGAGAATGATGGTAATGACCAAGTAAGGATTGTACGTTCCGCAGACAATTTTTGCAAAACTGTTGGTTTCGGTGACGGAGGCTGTGGATGGATAGGCGTATGAGTGGTTTTTTCTGAGCAGAATGGAGGCGACGGAAAACACGTCGTTATTCAAGGAGTGGGCTTCAGGTGGTTATTGAAGGGATAGAAAAAACCTTCACTTAAGATACCATAGCGTTCAGAATTCGTGGATCGCTAGTTCCTGTGGCTGTTGACTTGTGTACAATCGGAGACAGAGTAAAAAGCGGCTGTTAAAAGCTGAAAATCCAGTTGGTTTTGAGCAGGTCCTATCCAAATTTCAAGTGATTTTCGAGCAGGTGTTGTAAACATTCAGATGAATTAGCATGGATGACTTTGTAGGGGTGCATGTTGCAATTCCGCAACGTTTGATCAGCCCTACTTAACTTGATGTGCTCTAGTACCTGCTTAACCATTACCTTATCTAAAGTGTAAGTACTGATAACAAAACACAAATCAAAAGAACTGACACGGAATATACTCGAAGAGGCAATGTATTTAATCAGAGCAAGTGTAATGGCGTGGATGGGGGAAACGTTTACTCAACTTATCTGGCTTGTAAGGCTGAACTAGGGACTCTGAGTACGTGCGTGGTAACCAGCGCTACGGAAGCACAACATGGCGTCCAAGCCTGCTCGGATGTGTGCTTGTTAAAACGAAACTTTAAACACCCTAAGCATCGGGAGGCGAGCCAGAGGTTTATTTAGTTAATTTAATTTAATCTGTTTACTTTAGCCGTAGTTGTATTTTGGTGCCAGGAAGGTGCACTACAACTTCTCCAGGAAGGGCATTCCGGGGTTTGTCAACTTCCAGGAAATAGTTATGCCTGTTATCCACTCTGCTTTGCTTGGGGCTTAGTCTCTGTATGTGTCCTCGAAGACTAGTGCAATATTCCGGAATCACTAATTTACGGAGTGTGTGTCCAGGAGTGCTTACGATGTCGTTGGCTATAACCAAGCCCTCTCTTGATCTCCTATATTCCAGGCCAAGCGAAGGCAGTCGTTCTTCTCATGTATCATAGCTTAGCCCTCGAACCCGTTCGGTAGATTGCCACCAAATGTGTGCTTAGCCTAATTTATCCTTCTGCAGAGAGAACAAGAAGATTATAATCGCAAACTCCGGTATACAATGCCCAACATTAATAGTGTGAGCAGAGGAGACCTGTAGTCTTCGATCTCTCGCGTATAGTTTTTTGAATTTGACTCCTGTTGTTCGGTTCCGCTTCTGTAATGCGTAGGGCAACCTATTCTGCCTTCCTGCTTTTAGCTGCCGTCGGATGAGTTTTATTTGTGGGTTGGTGTTTCCAACTTGTTGGTTGGGTTGGTAAGGAAGCTTCAGGCTTCTGGGAAGACTAGGGGTCTTTGGCGGCTCTTACATGCAGAATATTCAACACGTTGAACGGTTAAACCAAACAATAGGTTGGGTGAAAATACATATGATATGTACTTCTGTTTTAACCTGATGGAACTTTTAACAAATAACTTTCAACTCATGATCTCTGCTGGTGCACCTCCCACATAATGTAGTCGTTTTGAATATGTTCCATTTGACTAACAACTACCGGTAGACG